AGTGTCTCTCTCAATCCTAAACACAAACTCTGCTCCTGCTATTCATAGGCCATTGATTATGACGAAGAGCCACTAACCGCAACTTCTGACTGATCTTTCGTTGTATACAACCCATTTCTCGTTCGTTTGTCAGCCCCGTCGGCCGAGACAGTCCAATATGTGACCACGCAGCTCTGACAAAACGCGCGCAGTAACGATGTGCCATAATCTGAACACAATGGCTGGGCAGTCAGTGGCTTGATGTCACGTTCGCTAACTTACCGAAAAATGAATTCATTTCACGTAACTGCTGCTGATGGCGATTACGACCACGACGACTGGGATCAAACTTATCAATATTATTCATTCGACTACGTTGATATATATATATATATATATATATATATATATATATATATATATATATATATATATATATATATATATGAAAAACTAGGTAATCCGTATGAGTAAACCTAAGGAGGATATAATCCAGAGAGTTCAATGTAAATCCAGAGCAAATAATTTAAATAAAAACAGACCACTTTAAGGTTCCATGTAATAAATTATTTCATCACAGCTCTTTTAAAAAGACTTCGGATCATCAGACTTTACTTCCAAACAAAAAAATGAAAAGAAAATTTACACATTTTTGACGGGCCGTATTAAACATATGTAAATTAACGAAGTGAGGAAGTGAGGGGGGAGAGAGAAGACATGCGTGAGTTAGCAGATATTGACACATTTATATATATGTGTGTGTGTGTATTACATGAATCTGATATTGACACATTTATATATGTGTGTGTGTGTGTGTGTGCGTGTGTATTACATGAATCTGTTTTTTGATATTGACACATTTATATATGTGTGTGTATATATTACATGAATCTGTTTTTTGTATGAATGATTCATGTAATGTAAATTGAACTGCACCACATACTTGATATATATATATATATATATATATATATATATATATATATATATATGTGTGTGTGTGTGTGTATGTGTGCGTGTACAGGGTGCGATAAATAAATTGTCGTCTAAATTACGCAAAATTAAAAAAATCTCATTTTAACAAACATATTTACCAAAATTACATAAAGATTATCTTGAAATAATAAAGAGTAAATTAATTCAAGAAAATCACCATTGGCTTCAACCACGGCCTCCAGACGACTTCGGAATCTCCTGCAACTCTTCTTCTCTATCAGAATTTATATACAATCCTAATGAGAGACTAACTTCTTCTACGTATTTTCGTAGATATGAACAAATATTTAGTCATGAATGCAGCAGCTGGGAAGATGAAGAAAAAACGAGATTGTTGTTGAGGAAAATAGCTTCAAAAGAGCATGAAAAATACAGCAATTACATTTTACCGAGAAAACCAGCAGAAATCAGGTTTGAAGACACGGTACACATTATAAAGGAAATCTTTAGTGGCAAGAGCTCTTTGTTTAATGCTTGTTGGAAGTGCTTGAATCTAACCACAGGAGAGGACGATGACATTGTTACGTATGCTGGCATCGTCAATAAAGAATGTAAATGTTTAAAGTAAATGTAATGGCTCCAGATATGTTCAACTGATTAATTTTCGGGCAACGTTTAACAGCTAAAAAGATGCTGAAATACGAGCGAAAATGTTGACAAAAATTGAAGAAAACAATAATATTGCACTGCAAGAAATAATGGACGATTGGTACGATGCTGAAGAAAATCAGAAAAAAAGGATGTGCATTGGTACAGGCAAAGGACAAATGTGCAAAAAAGGAGAATATATCCTTGTTTCAGAGATGTGGTAAATTACATCTCATACTAACGCAATATGGTTCACATAAAAGCATACCTGATTATACTAATACAATATGGTTCAATATTCCTACTCATACTAATACAATGTTTCAATATGCCTACCCATACTAACGCAATATGGTGCACATAAAAGCATACCTACTCATACTAATACAATATGGTTTAATATGCCTACACACCCTAATACAATATGGCTCAATATACCTACTCATACTAATACAATATGGCCCAATTGTTTTTCTATATTATGATTGGCTTAAGCTTTTAAACCTTTTAAACCTCTATGAAGTTTATGTATTTTTTATGCTAATTATTTAATGCGAAAATTTGTTGATGTCGGCAAAAAACCGTTAACTCATGTCTATGGTTTAATAAATTTTCATTATTTAGAAACTTAATAATCTTTCTACATATTTTCACACACACACACACACACACACACACACACACACACACACACACACACACACACACACATATATATATATATATATGTAGAGAGAGAGAGAGAGAAATGAATGTTCAAAAAATTATTTTTTACCGCATATAAGGAATAGGCTATTTAGGTAGACGATACAAGTTGTTGCCTGTCTTTTCAACCCCAATATGGGATGGTATTCCATTCCATATCGGAGTTAAAAAGACAGACGACCTGCTGAATGCGGAACTGTACTGGCGCACGGCTTCACTCCAACTCTCACACATGACTCCAAGAAGCCGCACGGACACTGCAACTGCCTCACCCCGGTAAATGGCATCGACCTGCCAGATAAGCTGTGGAAAGGGAGCTGGAAGGTTTTCCCGTGCCGACGGGTGAAGGGGAGCCCACATTTGCCAAGCGGCCATCAGCCAGAGGTCAACGACTTTACCAAGTGAGCAGACGAACTTCTGAGAAGTGGACGGGGTAACCTAAACATCCCCTGTCAAAAGGAACCAGCAGACCATTGCAATTCTGCCTTGAATGTCACTATGAACCACAATTGTGAGATTACACGGAATGGTGACCACAGCGCCGTAAAATGCGCTACCTGAATAAATGATGCTATATTTACACCTTTGTGCAAATGAACTGAAGTAACCGCTTTAGTTTCCTTTCTTTCATCATAAGGCCATTTTCAGACCCACTGGATACCTCATCTCAGAAATATAGACAGATACTGAACAATATTCCTTTCACCAAAACAATGCATTCTTACTTACCATTTTTACTTCAACATTTTTACCTCAGAATCCCCATGAAGTCCTAACTATTCCTTATATATACAATTCATTGTCCGTGGGGGGAGGGTAAAACAAAAATTTAAAAACTAGCCCCAATGAGCATTTACAATATAAAAGAAAAAAACTATTTACATGAAACTAAACAAAATAATATTTGTAATAAACCCGCTCACAATCCATAAATGTGGTAAAAACATCAGAAAATCAACGCGGGACTTTAATAATATAAAACATTCCTTCATCCCAAGCTCTCAAAGACACACTCATTCAGACACAACGACAAATAGGAAAAAAGCACCCAAACAGAAAGGCGCCCCGGTATCCACCAGAGAACTGGCATCACTGACAACCTAAAGAAGGAGGGGATGACGAATTAAACCAAAGAAAAATAACAAGGAGGAAAGCTTATTAGAATAACTGTTATGAAAACATTCATAGAAAAATTAAGACAAATGGAAGGTATATCATGGCGGTGTGAAAGTGACTGAAGTTGGGATGCCAGGTCAACACCTATAATATTACAGACTCTTCTTTAATGAGCAAAATACTATATTATTATACTTTGAAACACTGCCCGATCATTCATCTGTTCTTTTCAGCGTGTACCTGTCTGATACAGCCCAGTGACCAGTCAGCCCGGCAATAAGCAGTCTGTCCCGGTGCCTCTTCTTGAAATGAGTAATAACCCTATAGACGGCAATCGGCTGTCCGGACACTTGAATAGACAGACAGGTGGACAGGGGAAAGCAGGAAAAGGACGTTAAAGCGTCGAGGAAATCCTGTTTTGTCTCGTAGCGTCATCCAACAGATCCGTCCATCTGCTGGCCGACTGTCCGTAGATATCCAGGGATTTTTATTTTATTTTTATCTTACACTTTGCATCTCTCCCAACCACACAACAGCTTCCTCCATATTTAAATATCATCTGATAGTAACCGTGGATTCATTGGATAGAAATTCGTCTTTCTCCTTTACCGCCAAGGCCTTGTTTTTTTTTTTTTTTTTGGTGGTCAGCACTGTGTCATATCAGCGAAATATCTGTATCCCGATTGTCAAACGTGTATTTTCCATCCCAAATTCGACCTCGGCCATTCTTAAGATAAGCTAAGTATATTTTTCGGAATATCACGGTTAGTCAAGCTTTTATTAAACCAAAAAATGTTTCAAATCATTTTGCCGTAACCTATATTAATACAAGTTTACTCAAGTTTTTCCTTTTTTTATACTATATTTTTAGTCTTTAAATTTATTTTTCAAATTATTCTATTAATAAGTACTAATTCAGGGAGAGACCAGTTTATTACTTATTAATGGGATATACTTTTAAGTCCATTAGAAGGTTTTCATATATGTATTTTTAAATATATTCCTTTTTTCTAAATAGCATATTAATATATAGCATTTCTTGAGGGATCACTTTATTACTGGATAAGAACAGAAAACTGACCCTCCATTTTATGTACAATGAAATTTTATATCAATACTAATTTACACACGCTGTAATTTTTTACGCTAGATGTTGTGAAATCTTTTCTATGATTAGGTTTTTCACATGCAGGTCTTCAAATATAGATTTCCTATTTTTTTAAATTTGTAATTTTTGGCTGAATTTATGAGACGAACTGACAACCACATCACCAAATTCACAAGCAATGCATAATTGCTGTGAGTTCAGTCCCTGGGCTGGGCATTGTTTACTTGCAGTCTGTGGAAACAGGGAGCAATAACTTTAAAGGACTAAATAAAATAAAAAAACCAGGGGATATTCCGTGACATGAGCAGTGGAACAAGAACAGTTCACCCCATAGATTAAATAAAGTATTCAGAATTCCCTATAGGTCATCCTGATCGATATATCCCCTTAGAAAGGCCAGGTTGGCACAATGGCCGAAATGTTGTGATAAAAACAGCAAAGAAAAGGACAAATGTCCAAATATAGTTTTTTTTTTTTTTTTTTTTTTTTACGGCATATCAACACCTCAATGGGTTATTTAATGCCGACAAAAATTTTACTGCTGCTAATATTTTTATCTATCTATCTATCTATCTATCTATCTATCTATCTATCTCAGTATATATTGGTTTGGTTTGTTTTGTTTTACGGCATATCAACACCTCAATGGGTTATTTAATGCCGACAAGATTTTTATTGCTGCTAATATTTTTATCTATCTATCTATCTATCTATCTATCTATCTATCTATCTATTGGTTTGGTTTGTTTTGTTTTACGGCATATCAACACCTCAATGGGTTATTTAATGCCGACAAGATTTTTATTGCTGCTAATATTTTTATCTATCTATCTATCTATCTATCTATCTATCTATCTATCTCAGTATATATGAGTTTGGTTTGTTTTGTTTTACGGCATATCAACCTCAATGGGTTATTTAATGCCGACAAAAATTTTATTGCTGGTAATATTTCTATCTATCTATCTATCTATCTATCTATCTATCTATCTCAGTATATATTAGTTTGTTTTGTTTTGTTTTGTTTTACGGCATATCAACACCTCAATGGGTTATTTAATGCCGACAAGATTTTTATTGCTGGTAATATTTTTATCTATCTATCTATCTATCTATCTATCTATCTATCTATCTCAGTATATATTGGTTTGGTCTGGTACGTTTTACGGCATATCAACACCTCAATGGGTTATTTAATGCCGACAAAACTTTTAATTGTCGGTAATATGCTTTACTTCAAAAATCTATTTCTGGGAATATTTTTCCCTGAAGAATTTGAAAGTTGGTCATATTTTTTTCAAAGAATGTATAACTGTTTGTATTGCTGGTATTTTTTTTTTAAAGTATTGCTGATAATAATTTTCCTTCAAAAATTATTGTTGGTAATAATTTCTTTTATTGCAAAGTATTTCTGGTATTAAAACATTCAGGGTGGCCCTGGGAACACCAACAATTAAGAGGTAGTTCCACGCGTCCTCAAAACCTCTTGATCAGAGGCCTACGTGTTGGACGTAGTTTATCGTCTCACCCGGATGGACACGGATGTCATTTATCGTCTTACCCAGGATGCTATATTGCTGGTATTCTTACTATAAAAATCTATTTTTATACTTTTATAGTGTTCTGTATTCATTTGGGAGTTAACTATTTGCCCATAGCTGGAACCCTAACAAGTTCTAGGGTGGACCTGGGGACACCAACAATTAAGAGGTGATTTCACGCTCCTCAAAACCTCCTGATCAAAGGCCTTGCTTTTGGATGTAGTTTATCATCTTACCCAGGACGCGGATGTAGTTCATCGTCATACCCAGGACGACAAAATATAGTGTAAATAATATGTTGGGGGTCATTTTATTATTTAATAACAACAGAAATTCTATCGTCCATTTTATGTACGGTAGTAATTTATATTAGTATTACTTTCCACATGCCACTACAGGGTTCAATGGGTAAATTGGCGCCATTTTATAGTTTTAATTTTGCGCATGCGTATTGTTTGTTTTTTTTATTTTATTTTGTCAACTGCACAGCATAGTAGGCTCAGTTGGGTGCCACCATTGAGCAAAAAGAGCATAATGGCGCAATTCTCTCTGCCAGAACTTTAGAAATGGCATGCTGTACTGCTTGGCATTCATGCCGGAAGCTCCAATACAAACATTTCAGAGTGTTTGGGTGTGCATTACTATTTGTACAGCTTATTCAGTGTTAAACTTTTGACTGGTGTTTTTTTTTTGTTTGTTTGTTTTTGGCTATTTCTTTAATGTTTGGTCGAATGTGCGATAAGTAGACCCTCATTTCTTTTTCAGTTGAGCGTAGTCTTTCTCGCTTCTTATTTTTCATGTTATTTACGGTTAGGAAGCCGAATTGACATAAATAAGGAGTAGAAATGATAAAGCCTTTTTAGCTCATGTAGGATAAAAAGTGTAATACTTATTCATTTTTTCAAATACTAACGCTGTACCATTAATACTTCCATACCAAGTGTAACAGCAAAATTGTCCAAATCGTGTTACTGAATAATTGTCCATCCCACAAAATGTTTAATATCTAAAAAAAAAAACAAATAATTGAGTTTCTTTTTCCAGGTTTTCAGATAACACATTTAGCCATCTTGATACCATTTATCGTAAGAAACATTGAAAAACCTTTTCAGATATGCAGCTAAAAAGAGAACAGGTTGAAATCGTTTTGTGTCAGCGCCATTATCTTCTCAGCTGAGCAATGATGAGAGAAAAAAAATCATTCAAGCCTTCAATAATGGTACCAACATTCGTACTCTAGCTTCCATTTTCAAAGTCCATTCAAGAACCATCAAGGGAACGGTGAATATGTTTAAAAAAGAAGGAATAGTTGAGAGGAAAACTGGATCAGAAGGTCACAAAAGGAAGAGCGATCATTATTCCAGCTTAAAGCTAAAGAGATCAATTACAAAAGATCCAACTCAATTCATAAGACATTTAGTATGTGAGAGAGGAATTTCAGCTATGACAGTCCAAATACATCTGGATACGGATACGTAATTAAAAAAATATTTGTATATCATCAAAGCTTTCATTTCATATATAAAACAGACAAATCGATATTAGGAAATTGGTATGACTATTGAAATGTTTTTTTTTTATTTGAAACATTAGTGATAGCAATTTTTTTTTATATTTGATGATAGACGTAAATATTAGTCTAGTACTTAACTTTGTCATAAGGTAATTCTCTCTTACTCACTTTTTCTTATATATATATAACAAATTGTCCAAATTGTGTAACAGCATAATTGGTCACCCCACAAAATGTTTAATATGTAAAAATTAAACTGAGTCTAAACTAACTGAGTTTATATTTTTCCAAAACTAAACTGAGTTTATATTTTCCAGAATTTCAGATAAGACATTTAGCCATCTTGACACCATTTGTCGTAAGAATCATTGAAAAACCCTTTGAGTTATTATAGAAAGAGAACACTTTAAAATCGTTTTGTGTCAGTCCCACAATGTCTTCCTCAGTGAGCAATGGTGAGAGGAAAAAGATCATTCAGGTCTTTATACTCTGGGTTCCTTCTTCAAACCCGTTCAAGAACCACCAATAGAACGATGAACAAGTTTCAAAAAGAGGGAACTGTAGAGAGGAAACCTAGATCAGAAGGTCACAACAGGAAGAGGGATCATCGTTTCAACTTAGAGCTAAAGAGATCAATTAGAAAAGATCCAACTCAATCCATAATACGCTTGGCAAGTGAAAGAGAGGGAAAAAACAAGAGAGAGTAGAAATGTCGTTTTACAGAACGGTACAGCGGTTTTTTTTATTTATTAGTGATTATTTCATTGTCGCTTGTTAATTTGTTTATTATTTAATTAGTTTATATACTTATTTATATTTTTTGGATTAATTTATTTTATTTGTTTTTGTTAATCTATTTTATCTTTATTATTTTCTTTTCTTCTTGTTCGTTTTCAGTTTCAGAGTTTTAAGTAACAGTAAAAATTTGTTTTCTTGTCTGCATTTTGAGATGAGTTCAGATCGTTTATTTAAACGTGTTGGTCTGGGAAGGTAATTATAGCTATTTTTTTTTACCTCCAGGCAGAGTTTACAGTTTTTGGATGGATTTTTGCAAGCTGAGGCTGTTTTCCTTATTTTCCATGATATTTTTGGTGAGTTTTGTTTTGTTTGTTTTTAATTTTCCAGATATGTTTAGAAAGCATTGTACTGTTTGCGTATTTAATATTTGTAAAGGATGTTTTGTGTGATTAGCTCGTTTGTTTCCTCCGGGAACCGCCCAGACAAACTCTGATGGTCACAATAGCGTGAAACCCAGGGTTACAAAATCAGCCACACAATTGAATATATATATATATATATATATATATATATATATATATATATATATGAAGAAATATAAACAAAATTTACCCCCAGGATTTTGAATCCGGCTGCCAGGAAGAGCCAACTAACCAATAGTTCTGGTTCTGCTATTGCTGAGCATATAATAAATAGTAGGAAATGCGTGGTTAATTTTACTGAGGACCGTTTTTTGATTTCATCTAGGTCCCCCTCCTCATATCACCCCAAGGTTCTAGAGTCCTTGTATATCAGATCCCGTGAGTCTTCCCTTTGTAAACAGAGGGAATGCTTACTGGGTCTGAATGTTATTGGACTCTAGTTTCTTGAAATTCTTCTTTTTTTTTCTTTTCCATTTCATTCGTTAATTTAAATTAATTTACACGTTTTTTAAATTTAAAAAAAATTTCTATTCCCATAAAAGGTAAACTTGATAAGTCCTGGGACGAAAACGGTTGCTTTTTTTTTTTTTTTAGCTTTCTCTTTTAAAAAGGCATTATAAATTTTGTCTTTTGAATATATATATATATATATATATATATATATATAAGTGAACATTGAGTGGCCTGACGATTGCGTCTAGCATGAAACAGCCTTTCGCCTCTAAGTGCCGACTTCAATGTTCACTTTTATATTTACACACGCTCTATCTGTGATATTGAGCACTTTATCCCATAAATATAGCACACCTTAAGGCTATATTTCTTCATATATATATATATATATATATATATATATATATATATATATATATATATAAAAACTAAGAGTTGAGCTACTGGTGACAAAAAATATATATTTATTATTAAAATATATGATGATTCCAGTATCAAATCAAACAGACTGTCGTCCCTCGGTATTGACCTTAATGTCCAATATATATACAGTGTAACCCGGATATAAGAGACCCGGATGTAAGAGAAACCCGGCTATAAGAGAGATTTTCTCTGGTCCCAAATTAGAGTCTGTGTTAATGTATATAAATTAGACTCGGATATAAGAGAAACCCGGATATAGGAGAGATTTTCTCTGGTCCCAAATTAGAGCCTGTGTTAATCTATATAAATTAGACTCGGATATAAGAGACCCGGATATAAGAGAAACCCGGCTATAAGAGAGATTTTCTCTGGTCTGAAATTAGAGCCTGTGTTAATGTATATAAATTAGACCCGGATATAAGAGAAACCCGGATATAAGAGAAACCCGGATATAAGAGAGATTTTCTCTGATCCCGTCCTCCCCGATATAAGAGAGTTCGTTTTGAGAGACAGTGTGATGTCGTAAATCGGTCAAACAGAGGTCAGTTAGAGAGAGAGAGTGAAGTTCAATGACTTAATCTTGACTAGTCTAGAGACACGGTGTGTCCAATCTGTGTCTGTAAGAGACACCCTTTACCTTATGATTTTGCTTTGTGTGTCTAAGGGTAGCGCCGCCCGCTTTTTTGCCGACTTTGCTTGTCGTTGCATTTACTGGACAGCACTTTCACTTTACCCACTGTTCTGTTGAGTTAGAAGTTTGTCTGTTTGTTAATATTGTCACTGAAAACTGTTTGCTTGCGATCATTGCGATTAGTGATGTCGGCGTCTCAACGAAAAACTCTGAGCATTTCTGAACAGTTGGAGCTCATCGATGATGTCAAAGTGAAGAAACTCAAACTGGCCGCTGCAGCCAAAAAGTACAGAATCGGTTATTCAACAGCAGCAAAAATTCTCGAGAAAGAAGACGATCTCAGATCTTGCATGCAAATGAACGGAAACACTAATCGCAAACGAAAGCGCCAATCCGTGCACAAGAACGTTAACGAAGTGCTTACACAATGGTTTACGCAAGCATGTGATCATGGAGCTACCGTCACCGATCACGTCATCAGGCAGAAAGCATCACAACTGGCCGTAAATCTTGATTTTGAACCGAGCAATGGCTGGCTCATGCGCTGGAAGCAGGCCAATAACGTTTCGTTCAAAAAATTTCACGGCGAATCAACGTCAGCAGATCACGGTTCTGCCAACGAATGGGTGACAAACGTTTTGCCGCAACTTTTTCGTGGATATGATCCAAAAGATGTTTGGAACTGTGATAAAACGGGAATTTTCTACAAAGCCATGCCGTCTGGATCTTTGCGATTTGCCGGCGACGAACAGTCAAATGGGACAAAAGTTCCCAAAGACAGACTCACGATGCTTCAGTTCACAAACATGGACGGCAGTGAAAAGCAAGCTGTAGTTGTTGGTAAGTCGGCAAAACCACGGCAAAACAGATTTTGACGAATTTATCAGCTTCGACGACCGTACACAATGTTATGGAGAACTGACTGACACGAACATCACACGTGGTATAAAATCGGATGATCAAGATTTAGACGAAGATGATGATGCTGAAAGCGTAAGTTCTGAAGTTTCTGAAAGTGACAAGCCAGTGCCAAATTCTCTGGCTGCATTGAATGCGCTTGAAACTCTGACAGCCTACTTTGAAGCAAAAAGCAGTAATCCTGATGGCTCATTGAAAATGATTTACGGACTGTATGAAAGTGTTCATGATGTTAACAAAGAGATTTTTCTGTACAATCAAAAAATGACTGACTTTTTAAGAAAAGTCATTTTTGATTGAATTATTTTGAAAACTGATTGAAAATGTATTTTTTTTGTCTGTGTTTTTATGTCTATAACTGTTAAATAAACTAGTGTTCTGTACGTAAAAAGCGTTATATGAAGTGATCCCATACGTACCTAAACAAAATAGACCAAACCCTGATATAAGAGAAACCCGGATATAAGAGACTTTTCTCCGGTCCCAACAACTCTCTTATATCCGGGTTACACTTGTATATATATATATATATATATATATATATATATATATATATATATATATATATATATGTGTGTGTGTGTGTGTGTGTCTGTGTGTGTTTGTGTGTGTGTGTGTGTCTGCGTATATAAAAGAGAGAGAGAGAGAGAGAGAGAGATAGTATTTTGGCAGAAAAAATTCTATTTTTTGGCATATTTGATTGAAGACCATGGAAACAGTTTTAAGAAGTTTTTTTTCTTTAATTACTTTTGATTTTTCATGAAAGTGTTTTTTTTTTTTACTTTTCTTTTCTTACTGTAGCTAAACATATGTTTCTCTCATGGCTCCAGTTACTGATGACAACTTTTCAGATTTAAAATTTGACATCGCAACAAGTGGCATGAGCAAAAACAAAAAAAAAAAAAAAAATTTGAAATATAATGCTGAAATTATCAAAGACGTCATAGTAAGCGACACACTTAACCCTTACTGAAAGCAACCCTTTTTTTTCCCTCGGAAGAATGACAATATGAGTGAAAGTACTTGTAGAAATAATATCTGAAATATGTTTCTATAATCGTGAAACACCAGTAAATACATTTAAAATAAAAAAAGAAAACTTAGATTTAAAAAAAAAAAGCTTTCCACGGAACGTTCATGGCTCAAATTGAGGAATCGAAGAGCCGATTTCGAATTCATTCGAATCCATAAAATTCACTTACGTGCTAATAACCTTGGGAAAGGTATGAATCCTTTTCTTATCCCTCCAGCTATGGATAATTTGCAGGACAGACTAGGTTCTTTAGCCTTGGATGTCAATTGGTCTACGAGAAGGACAACTCTGAATTCAAAACCTGCGGAAGTTTGTTTGGAGACCTTGTGGCAAGTAGTGCATCAGTTCTCTGTATTCGGTCCTTCTAAACGTTTATATGGTTCTGCACAAAGCCTTCGCCACTATAATCAAATCATATGTGCTAGTATCTGGGGTGACGCTTCCTAGGAACTGAGCTGCTTGACCCTCATTCGTCCGATAGAACGGGAGAATCCAGCTATATATAAGCAATAATTTTTTCTCCTCTATATATTGTCCACTGCCTTAACCAGGTATTGAACTCACAATCTTTGGGTCTTGTCACTGGATCTAACACGGTTAAGGTAGTGGAGAACTTGGAGAGGGGAATTAACAGGAGATAACTGATAACTGACATCCATTAAACATGGCACGTGGAACTAGAACAGTCTACCCCAGTAAGCGAAATAAAGGGTTCAGTTCGACATTCCAAACATCTGAAGAAGGCCGGAGCGTACAACGGTCGAAACGTTGTGATAAATATGGTGACAAAAATGAAGACAAAAGCCCGAATAATCTAAATAGTGTACATAGTAACTCATCTCAGAAATATAGACAGTGTTCTTGATCGTATAGTAATTGAGAGTTCTATACCTTGGGCGGGTAGTACAGATTCAGTGGAAACAGAGAGAGCAGTAGCTGAGCAGTATTTAAAAGACAATATTTCCATATACATAGGCATTAAAACAAAAATAATCTCCCACGCTGTGTTTAGATCTTAGACAGACGGGACCAGCAGGGATTGGGGCCGATACAAGTTGAGTCCGACGGGGTGGCAAAACACAAGTAAAAGAAAAAAAAAAACTCACGAGACAAAAATTACTGATAAAAAGGGTGACAACCTTTATATCTAATGTCCGTTACATAAAGAAAAATTGTTCTTATTTCCCGACCCGCTCTGTGGACTATGGCACAAGCTTCTATCACACAACCTAAAGATTTCGAATTGCCTACTCTTTAGAATTGTGTATGTCGGAGTGTGGTTTAGTTCGACACTGGGGCTAATTTCTATCGATCATTCGCAGTTGATTCTTCTCTTCGACTTGAGTTGTATTTCTTCTTCTTCGTCGACTTAGATAGAACTTCTCTTGTCTTCGACTTGGGCTGGATCTTCTCTGCGGCTTTCGAGTAATCTTCTTCTTCGTCGACTTAGATAGAACTTCTCTTGTCTTCGACTTGGGCTGGATCTTCTCTGCGGCTTTCGAGTAATCTTCTTCTTTGTCCACTTGGGCTGGAAGTTCTCTTGTCTTCGACTTGGGTGGAAGGATTTCTTGTTTCGACTTGGGTGGAAGGATTTCTTGCCGCAACTCAGCCGCTACTCTCTGTCGTCCGAGTTGATCTCTTCTCGCTGCCGTCCGGGGCTGAACTCTTCTCGCTGCCGTCCGGGGCTGAACTCTTCTCGCTGCCGTTCGGGGCTGAACTTCTGTCTTCGACTTGGGCTGGAAGGATTTTTTGTCTGAGGATTCTTTTGCCCGCAAAGGGGCGAGTGAATCGGGCCTGATGCCCGCGTTCAGGCTCTATCCCTGCCCGCGGTCCAGCTGCAACTCATTTCTGTCGACTGGGGTCCTGCTTTTATTGACGCCGCAACAAAACGGGGTGGGTTTGTCGGCGTCAGGGGTTTCTCGATAATTCCAATAGCCGCATTATTTCTGTCTTCCCATTATTGCTATTGTTTTCACCCCTACTTCCCCACAGTGCCTTTGGTGGGAGGCGCACACCATCTTTCCCGGTCCCTCGTATGTCAGGTGACCGCTCTCGACCAATGATTCCTGATCGAGAATTTCTCCTCCTCTCTCCCGTATGCCACGTGACCGTTTCCGACCAATTGTTATTGATCGAGCATCCTTTCTCCTCTTTTTTTGGGCGTGGTTTACATCGTTCTTGTTTTAAAAAACAAAATCCAATTTTGCCCTTTTGCACGTACGAAAAAAATGACAATCTTGGCTTTTTCTCACCTGGGCTCTGTCAAAACAGCCTGCCGCTAATTAGATGTGACTTCAGGAAAGAATATTGGCGCCATCTGTGAGCTGAGACAATCGTTTTTTTCACCTCTTGTTTTTGTCAGACCCGACAGTCAGAAAATCTTAATTATCTACATTGAAAATGTCCCCACTTTATTATCGTGGGTTTCCAATTCTTAATAGGTCAGAATCTGTATACAGTTCCACCGGTCACTCCCTCAACCCAAAAAGACACTTTTTCCCCGATTAAAAAATTTCGTTTCTATTGTTCTAAAAAGAAATTCCCTTTCTTCAATTTGACAATGAGTCTTTCCACGCAAAAAGTAGGCTAGGTGCTTTGACCGATATTCTTATCAATCCCAATACACTGTCATCAAGCCTGGTTCTTTTTCTCCCTCTAAATGATTTTTCATTTCAAATAACAATTCTCTATTGTCTTTTAAAATTCGGCCAACACGCAGGCCAAGATATCTTTCTGACACCTATCTTCGCTTATGACCGGGTCATGCATCATCCATCTCTTTTCTTTTTTTTTTTCTTCCTCTTTTCTTTCCCCTTCCTTCTTCTTTCCTTAGGATCGTCTAAGTACAACTTTAGTGAATCATTTTCAACTCAATTATTTTCCGTTTAAAAAAAAAATCAACAACCTGTTTAATAAACCGAGTAAAAAAAAAAAATTAAATCATATTTCTATGAATATTTCTAATAATGCAAGGTGCCACAATCTATCTCAGTCTGTTCATATCTACCTACCTACCTACATACCTACCTACCCACCTATCTATCTATCTATCTATCTATCTATCTATCTATCTCAGTCTGTTCATATCTATCTATCTATCTATCTATCTCAGTCTGTTCATATCTACCTACCTACCTACATACCTACC